TGTTTTGAGAATGATGAGGGCAATGAATGTACAAATGTGCTTTACACAATTGATATATGTATGGATTGTGATAAGAGTTGTATGAGCCCCTAAAAAAAAAGAAATAGGGTTTCTGGAGCCCTAATAATTCGTCCCATAGGTTTATGTAACCTAATAAAGTATGGAGTGGATAAGGAGCCTAAGGTTGATGGCTAATAGACAGAGGTCAGATAGTCCTCCCCCTTCAACATTTTACCAGTTCTGACACCAACTCTCTCTCTCACAGTACTCTCCATTTCTTTGCTGGGCTGGACACTTCATTGCAGTGGCCACACAGAACTCAAAGACCATAGTCACAGTTCTGAGCTTATTAGGGAAGTAACAGGTTACAGTTGAGGTTTAGGAACGTTCAGCATACAGTTCTTTGGTTAGGGTAGCTTCTCAGCCTCAGAGCACTCATTCTCTTCACTGCTCAGGTAAGTGTTACAAAGTTCTGTGGCCCCTCCAATAAGTGTCTGGAGACACCCCACTCCACCAGCAAGTCACTCCCCCTACCGGAAGTCACTCAGTTCTGTCCCTCCGCAGGTTGGTATACTAGTCGCCTTGCTCCAAGGGCTGGGAAGCACAGCCTTTGATGCTGGTCAGCTGGTTCTGCTGCTGCTGTTTATCTGCCACACTTGCTGGCTTTGCTCTCCATCTCTAATGTTACGTCAAAGATGTGAAAAAGGTGAAACTATTTGATACAGATTAGTAAGTAAGTATAAGTAAGCTTGAGCTTACTTTGCCTTTGGGTAATCTGAGATTATATGCCACCTATCATGCCCACATTCCAGAGCCAGCAAAAAAGAAGGGAGGGTGTGTGTGTGTGCGCGCGCGTACGCATTAGCCATGTCTCCTTCCTTCAAGGACATTTAAGTTGCACACAACATGGGCACTTATACTTCATTGGCTAGTTCTTGGTTGTGCCCAATCCTCACTGTAAGGAGGGCTTTATTTCAGGTGGCCATGTGCTCTGCTCAAATTCAGGTCTTGTATTGCTGTGGAAGGAAGGGAAAACCAGCAGATAGCGAGCAGTCTCTGTGACATATTTGTTTGTGATAATCCAGGCTGTCTGGACTAAAACTTATGATGTTAGGATGAATGACAAATGTTAGCCTTGTGTGTAAAATACCTGTGTTTGGAAAGCACAAGTAATGCTGAAGGAAGGACTGCCTCATTTGCTTTCGGAAAGTTTCCGTCATTGTTACTCTTAGGGCTGCCCTGTTATTTCTGCATGTCAGCAGCTACCCAGAACTTTCAGAGGACCCTAGGTCATTCTTGTGGTTAGAATTACCACCTCACCAGAATGTTCACAGGTTCTCAGTTCTACATCATCATTTCTACATCAATCCCATAAACTAATTTCAGTGAGTTTTAGTAAATCAACTAGGTTGCGCAAGCATCACCATAAAGACATCCCCCAATAAGATCCTCCATGTTCCCTACCTCACCGACCCCCACCTCCCACCCACTGCTCTCCTTCCTGCCTAGACTGATTTGCCTTTCTGAATGGTTCACATAAGTGAACCCCCCCGCCCCCCCCAAGTATTATGTGTTGGGCTGCTGACCACGAAGTAAGAGTTAGAAACCACCAGCTGCTCTGTAGGAGAGGAATGATGCGTTCTACTCCTGTAAAGAGTTAATGTCTCAGAAAACCACAGGGGCAGTTCTACCCTATGTATCGGCATTGATTCGATGGCAGTGAGTTTGGTCTTTGGGTTTGGACCTTATTTTTGAAAAGCATTGATCACTTCTTGATCTTTTCTTCTTTACTTAATTATTTAAGTACTAATCACTTACATCTCCAAACCAGGTGGCTAGCCTCATGAGCGCAAGGAGCACATCTGCCACAGGCTGCCACGGCCCTGGCAGTTCCAGTACAGCGTGAGTCCTCGGCAGCATCTGCTGGACTAAGGCGAGAACTTGGTTCTCCCAGCGTCAGTGGAGCCACAG